CAGGTGGATTTTGTATAAACCAATGTATTCCATTGGGAACTTAAATGTATTTTTAGCAGAAGAACCTTTTAGAGATGAACTTTAAAACTCTTACAACTGTGAAATTCCCACTATGTCAGATTCCAAGCCTTCAGAACATCCCTTAATCTGTTGACAAACATCAGAATACCAACAAAGACTGGAAGCTTAATTATTCTAACTGAAATAATAGGGATCAACTCAATGAATGGGGAATCCAAGGACTGGGTTAGATAGGGAGTGAAGAACACGGACTGTAAGTACATTGACCCCTCCCTCCACCTCACAGTCAACGGAAAGGAGCAAAGCAATGGCCTTTGAACAAACTATGAGAGTGACAGCTATAAAGGGACTACTATCTTAGCTGCGGTGGGCAGGCAAACAGAACAATCCAGGAGAAGGGGAAGAAACAAAGGCCATGGCTCTGGCACTTACCCGCTCCTTGTAGTAGAAGGAGCTGATGGAAACCTGCTCTTTCTCGCTGCGTGTAGGGCTCCCGCTATATAAGCGAAGGTTCCCAGGGGCCTCTGTGCGGATCTTCATTGGTGCAATCAAGCCAGTATGATAAGCAGACAAGGCGGAGAGAGATCTGCAGTTGACAATGAGAATTATCTACATTGGTTGTTTTTTTTCCCCCATATTTGTAAGTAGTGCTATGCACAGCACTTGCTGAAACCAAGAGGAAAAGACATGGGAAGAAAAAGGAAAATTCCAAAAAAACAAAAGAACCAAGCAAAACTTTTAGAGCTGAAAATGCTTTGTCTGCACAAGCACAGGATATTCCCATGATTGTATACACAAAAAACTCAAAGCTTTAAATAACTAGAATTAATTAGTAAATTTAGATTCGAGATCAATTTATTAAAAATATACTGTATTTCCATATATTAAAAACATCTAGAAAATAAACAATTTTTAAAATTTTACTTACAATAGCATCAAAACACAACAAATACCTAGGAACAAACCTAGTTTTTAAAAAATGTGCATTAGAAATGTGAAGCACCAGGCATCACAATACCAGACCTTAAACTACAGGGCAATAGTAACAAAAATGGCATGGTACTGGCACCAAAACAGACATGAAGACCAATAGTACAGAATAGAGAACACAGAGACAAACCCACATAAATATGGTTATCTCATACTAGACAAAGGTGCCAAAAACATACATTGGAGAAAAGATAGCCTCTTCAACAAACTGAAATCCATATGCAGCAAAATGAAATTAAACTTCTATGTCTCACCTTGCACAAAATTCAACTCAAAGTGGATCAAGGACCTAGGAATTAGACTAGAAACCCTGCTCCTAATAGAAGAAAAAATAGTCCCAAATCTTCATCATGTCAGATTAGGTCTCGACTTCCTTTAACAAGACTCCTAAAGCACAAGAAGTAAAATTAAGAATCAATAAATGGGATGGATTCAAACTAAAAAGCTTCTTTCCAGCAAAAGAAACAATCAATGATGTGAAAATCAGTGATGTGAAAAGACAGCCTACAGAGTGGGAGAACACTTTTACCACACACACACATCAGATAGAGCACTAATCTCCAGGATATATAAATAACTCAGAAGACAATACCAAAAATCAAACAATCCAATCAATAAATAGGCTAAGGAACTGAACAGACACTCTCAGAAGAAAATATACAAGGGATCAACAAATATATGAAAAAGTGTTCAATATCTTTAGTAATTAGAGAAATGCAAATAAAAACTACTCTAAGATTTCATCTCACTCCAGTGAGAATGTCAGTTATCAAGAATACAAGCAATAATAAGTGTTGGTGAGAATGTGGGGAAAAAGGGACAATCATACATTGCTGGTGGGACTGCAAATTGGTGCAACCACTTCGGAAAGCAGTGTGGGGATTCCTCAGAAAACCTTGAATCCAATTTCCATTTGACCCAGCTATCCCACTCTTTGGTCTATACCCAAAGGACTTAAAATCAGCATACTATAGTTACACACCAATGTTTATAGCAGCTGAATTCACAATAGCTAAACTGTGGAACCAACCTAGATGCCCATCAATAGATGAATGGATAAAGAAACTGAGGTATATATACACAATGGAATATTATTCAGCATTAAAAGAGAATAAAATCATGGCATGCGCAGGTAAATGGATGGAGTTGGAGAATATCATGCTCAACGAAGTAAGCTAATCCCAGAAAACTAAAGGTCGAATGTTTTCTCTGATTAATGGATGCTGATCTATAATTGAGGGTGGGGGCCTTGGGAAGAATGGAGGAACTCTGAATTGGGCAAAGGGGAGGATGAGGATGGGTTATGAGGGTAGGAAAGATGGTGGAATGAGATGGAAATCATTATCCTAGGTACATGTATGACTACACGAATGGTACATCTCTACACCGTGAACAACCAAAGAATTGAAATGTTGTGTTCCATTTGTGTATGATGAATTGAAATGCACTCTGCTGTAATATGCACCTAAGTAGAACAAATAAAAAATAATAATTTTTTAAAAATATGTCAGTTTTCTCTAAACTCATCTAAAGAGTTAATACAATCCCAATCAAAATATAAGCAAGGTTCTGTTGTTGTTTTTTAAGAAACTAAGCTAATGTTATAATTTTGTGAAAATGTAAGAAGACCTATAATAACCAACAAAAAAACTAAACAAGAATAATAAACTTGGAGGACTCTTGCCATCGGGTGTGAAGACTCTATACAAAGCTATATCATGAGTATAGTGTTAGCATAAGGAGAGACAAAGTGACCACTGAAGGAAAAGACAGTCCAAAAACTGACCACAGATAGGTTGTCCGTTGATTTTCACCAAAGATATCAATACCAATTCAATGAAGAAAGCTTTATACAGGTAGTGCCAGAACAACCACTTCTCTCAACTGAACAAAACAAACTTTGACCCTTACCCATCATCCACACCAAAAAAATGAGAGATGGATCACAGATATTAAATAAGGAATTTAAAACTGTAAACTTTTCAAAAGAAAACAAGAGAAGGATATTTTGTGACCCTGGGGTAGGGAAATATTTTTTTGATGAAACACAAAAATCGCTAACAAAGTAAAAAAGTAATAACCTGGGCATCATCGAAATAGAACACTGCTATTCTTTGAAAACCATTAAGGAAGGAGAAAGACAAGCCACAGAGGAGGAAAAAAATCAATAAACACTTCCAGCAAAGGATCTGCAACCAAAATAGACAAGCACCACAAATAAATAAGAAATACAGTCAAGGGAAAAAGTGCGTGATACCTGAAGAGGCACCTGGCAAGAGAAGATGGTTAGTAAGTACATAAACACTGCTCGGCATCATTAGTTGTCATCATGGAAATGTAAATTAAAACCAGGAGGTAATATTTCATGCCCATCACAACCACTGAAGTTGAAGAGATTAGCAATGCAAAGTTTTAGAGAGATGGTAGAGCAATAAGCGCTCTGAACATCACTAATGTGAGGGCAAAATGACACAACCACTGTGCACCAACTTTCTGGTAATTTCTAATAAAATTAAACATACACCTATCTTATGATCAGCAATTCCACTCCTTGGGCATAGAAACTAATTCTTGTGTTCATAAAAAGGACAGTACATAATGGTCCCAAACTGGAAATACTCCAAATGTTCAAGAATAGGGGAACAACCTATATCATGTTCATAAAATCCAATTACTGACAGAGGCAACCATGTGGGTCAATTTTAGTATCACTAAGTCAAGCAACGTAAGCTAAGTAATTTTAGTATCACTAAGTTCAGCAGTTCACAGTGCGCGTCTACCTCAGTAATCTTTAGGAACAGACAAAACTCAACTATGATGATAGAAGCCAGGACAGTGGTTTCCTCTGGGCAACGAGAAACTGGGAAAAGGAATTGGGAATTTGAGGGGCAAGGACAATGCTTCACATCTTAATGTGTGTACTGATAATTATATTTCAATAAAGTACTGCTGGCTGAAAATGTTCCTATAGAACATGTGATCCAAAGTCCAGGTACAGATCTTCACTGAGACCCTCTGAAAGGAGGTCACTTTTCTGGTCTAACCTTTCCAATATGGAATCTAATGTAAGGCAAGTTCCCTGGTTACTTAACCTCCAGTTCTTATGGGTCAAGAAGATCTCATCTGCCTGGATTAGTGTGGAGCCTGGCACTTTCCCAGTTCAGCAGAGGCATCTGTTCACACACTGCTTCGTGATTCTTCCTAACTGTTCTGAGCTAACGATAACTGTGTGTTCTGCGTTACCCTGGTCACTGCTCTGCAGAACCAGAAGTCTACTGTATGATCTTAAAGTTTAAAAAAACATTGGTCACAACAGGAAACATAGTCTGAGCACTCCCCATGTACTGGCAGTGTTTTCAAAGGCCTTAAAGGGACTTGCTAGTTTAGGCTCCAGAGAAAAGTGCTATCAGCATCTCCACAGGACCGCTGAAGAAACTAAAACAGTCTAGATAAGCTGCCTGAGCTCAGTGAACCACACAGGGATCCCCCTAGTTCATGGAAAAAGAAAGGAAGGGCTTTCAAACTTGAACCTAAAGCTTCTGCATTGTTTTGAGGTTTCCCAACATACTCCTTATATAACTTATTAAAATTACATGTATTTTGATAATGTTAGACATGGTGTATCCGTGTTGTGGGACTACAGATGATCTTTATGTTGTTTCTTTTTTTCACTTTAACAGTAAATCAAATACCAAAAATTTTAATATAATAATAAAGTAATAACAATAGGGAAAACATATATTAACAAAGGATTTGCCTTGTTTCGGCAATAGTTTTCATGAAGCTGCCCCTTCATGTAGTTTGGCAACCTTATAACAGAAATCTCAGCTTTTCTGCATTTAATGAACCACCATCTTTCTTGAATGAATCTTACAATGGGAGTTTACTGAAGAACTAAAACAAACTGTCCAAAGCCAGAGTCAGTGGTCCTTCCCATATTTCTGCCCACTTCTGGCCCCCTGGATATAGACCAAAAGCATCTTCTAGACTCACCTGGGAGTGGGTTCTGTTGGAGACACTGCTCGATGCATTGTCATGGGCCTTGTGAAATACACCAGGTAACCTGACAAAGGAGACAGCACATGTGCACGTCAGTGGGAAGTGCCAAGACAGGACTGGGCAATCTGTTTTTCTGTCTCAATATACCTGAGGGATAAGACAGATTTTTAAAAATTGCAAAGGCTAATGCTACAGTGACTCTGCATAGGCCCAAAGGTGAGAATCTCCAGGATCTAGGACAGATGGGATATATGTGGACTGGATCAAGTCTCCACAGATGCTTTACGTTCCCTATAGGGGACTTATCCTCTGTTAAGAATCAGGGCTCTAAACTAGACTCAAATCCAAGTTCATCAGAATGAAACAAATGAAGACTCCAATTCTGGTGGGATATACTCACAGAAACTAATGTGGCCTCATAGTATAAAATACTACTACAAAGAAGTTCTGAGTTCTTAGGAAATGAAAACAAAGAAGCCTTTTCTAAGGCAGATGTTCATATAGAATACATGACACTCTTGGCTGTATTCCCTTGAAATCTAGAATCAGCAAGTCACAGAGACCAACCTGCTCCACAGAACCTGGCCCCAGAAGTCCTAGGAAAGGGAATATTGGCATCCTGGTATGACCCATAGGCCGTGGTCACCCGCGCAAAAGTTGGCAAAGGTGGTGTGACGGAGTTTGGGAGCGCAAACGGGTTACTAGAAGCACTGTCTTCTTGGTTCTGAAATTTAAAAATCAACAAACTAAAAACCACAGCCTGTCTTAGAGCTGAGTTACAAAACAGGGGTATGACATTAGAAAGTCAGGGAGCCCAGGATTTTAGGAGAAGATATGAAACAAGACACCAAAGCCTAGGTCGATACACAATTTCATGTTTCCCACCACAAAAGACTCAAGGCAGGAGACGAGCTGGCGCAGGCAGGGCTCCAAACAGCTCTGGTTGCGTTTCACTTTTTGCAGGGAAGTGTCCTTCAGGATCTAGAAAAGGCCCAGAACACAGTCAAGAAGAGCATCCCATTTCTCCCGCTTGGCTTTACTCTACAAAGTGGGCAGAAGCATGATGGTTGCAGGACTGAGGCATGGTTAGGTCTAAGGTTTCCAGGGCAATGCACTTCTCTTCCTCAGCCCTCAAGGAGAAGGACTGGGTCCTGAGCCTCCTAGGGAAGCCTTTCCTTGGCCCAGGAGGCCGGCCACACACTGGTTCTAGCATGACAATAGCTATTTTTTCTTTCTAGTGAATTCAGGCTCTTTGATCTCTCCTGACCCCACCTCCTTCATGAGAAATCTCAGCACCTTGGAAGTGATACCCACTGGGCTGGACTAAAAATGGCTCTGAGAAAAAGAGCCAGGGAGGGAACAGATTTCTCCTCAGCAGAAATTATAATGTGTTTTATTTTTTTGTTCTTTAAAGTGATAAATCCTACTATTTTAAGATGCATGCCACAGATGTGAACTGACACCCACAATGAAGACAGGCCTATGAACTAGACCCATTGTTCCTACCACCTGAAATGTGCCTCGTCCAAATTCAGAGGCACTGTAAAACTCACAGCGAATGTTGGTACAGAAAAAAGTGTAAAATATCCCAATAAGTTGATATTGATTATACGATGATATGATAATAATTTGGATGTGCTAGATTAGATTAAAATATTATTAAAACTAATCCACTGCTTCTCTTAGTTTTTCTTGTGTGGCTATTGGAAAATTTTGAAATTACATGTGGCTTGCATTAACACTGCTATTAGCATTGAATTAGACCTTTAAATTTGACACTTCTCATTTTAAGCCTATCATTTTATACTGACACACATACATATGTATATATGTATATGTATATATATATATGTATATATATGTGTGTCAGTATAAAATGATATATGTATATGTATATATATATGTACTTTTTTGGGTCCAAACTAGGCAATGAAATATTCAGAATCCAAGTTTAAAATGACAAATACCACAAAATCTAAATAATTAGCATTTCAGAGATCTTTAAGCCACTTAAAAAATGTCTGATTACATATGATACCACAATAGGATGGAACTATCAAATGCATATGATCCAAAATGGGTAAAGATAAGCAATGTTCAGGTCAGCGTGGGCTTATGAGGACACTTCAGTTCCTTCACTTGTCACACTGCTCAAACTGAGGAATGTTTGCCATCACCTGACTCCTAGCACTTTCTGAGAGGTTCTGCCTGATTAGATCTCACTGACACATAGAGTTGAAGACCAACTGCCAGGCTGTGCCACCTGCAACCACATACCACTGTCCTTCACACACCCACCTTGCCTGTGCAGCTAGACAGTTTATCTCCAAGCTAACCCTGGTTCCTTCTATGGGATGGAAAATATTTTAATCTATACACATTATTTTAATTAATATTTTAATCTATACACATTATTTTCTGATTATCAAATATCTTAGATATTAAATATCTTAGCTTCAGAATGTCTTGCCTATTTCTAGATAAACAGAACTCCAGGGTTCTTAACCTAAGATTAGTGCATAGCTTTAGTGATCTCTGTGAGATTACATGCAATTCATATCCTAGTATTCAATATTTCTGAAGTTATATGCAAAATCTGTGCAAATTATTCTGAAGAAGGATCTATTGTCTTCATTAGACATCCAAAGGACATCCATGATTCAGAAAAGATTAAAAATCACTGCTCCAGGGACTGGGGTTGTAGCCCAGTGGTAGAACACTTGCTCAGCACATGGGAGGCAATGGATCTGAACCTCAGCACCACATAAAATAAATAAATAAAATAAAAATACTGTGTTCATCTACAACTAAAAATATTTTTAAAAAAATCACTGCTCTAACATTGTCTACACAAAGTGATAGGCCAGTGTGTTGCTAATACCACAGCATGCAGGGGACAGACAGCTTCCAAATCTTTGAGTTCCACTTAACTTCACTACTCAGCACAGACACCGATGCACACAGCAGAGCACTTGTCTTACAAAAGCAAAGAAAATTTGGGAACCCAGATCCCCACCTTTAGCAGCTTAGCTTTCATGGTCGATGTGATGGTTGTGGGGTTAATAAACTGGAAGGAAGGGGCGGCATTGTTGGGGTACTGAGCTGGGAACTTCACCAGCATCTTGACACGGTGGCTGCTGCAGTGCGCGGACACCGTGCAGCTCCTATCTGCAGCGTCCATCTGCAAGACACAGACCCACAACTTCTTAGCAGGAAAACTGCAAGGTTTTCTGATGTAAATGAACATTTATTTTTATTTCTTTTTTTCTTTTTTTCCTGCGGTGTGGGGATCAAACCCAGGGCCCTACACAAGCTAATCAGGCTCTCTTCCTACTACTGAGCTATACCCCCAGCAAGATGCAGTTAGATGTAAATAAGCTACCTGAATGTTCCACATTCCTGATAAAGGGAGACAGTCCACAAAGACAAATGAGTTTGGAAACAACCTGTTTTCAAAATAGATTTTAAAATCTTAGTACTGCCTTAATGAATTCAAAGTATTTTTACTTAAAAAGCTTCAACCCAAAGCTTTGAGGTTAACTAAAGCTTGTTGGATTTACTTTGAGATGAGAAAATAAAGCAGGAAGAAGTTAAAATGAATAACCTGATTCAACACAGAAAGCACTCTGACCTGGGCATGATGACCACACCTGTAATCCCTGCTACTCAGGAGGCTAAGGCAGGAGAATTGCAAGTTCATGACCACCCTGGGCAACTTAGTGAGGCCTTGCCTCAAAATAAAAATTAAAAGGGCTGGGGATGTTGCTCAGTGGCAGAGTGCCTCAGTGGTAGGGTTCAATCCCCAGTATCACAAAACAAAACAAAACAGTATTTCTTAGAAAATCCATAGACATAGAGCAGATGAATGGCTGCCAGGGCTGGAGAGAGGGCCAATGGAGGTGACCGCTAATGGTTACAGGAAGTTTTTTTCAGGATGATGAAAATATTCTGGAAATAGACAGTGGTGAAAGGTTGCACAACTTTGTGACTACACTAAAAACCACTAATCGCATACTTTAAAAAGGCAAATTGTGGGATTGGGGTCGTGGCTCAGTGGCAGAGTGCTTGCCTACCAAGTGTGAGGCACTGGGTTCGATTCTCAGCACCGCATATAAATAAATAAAATAAAGGTCCATTGACAAAAAAAAAAAAAAAGGCAAATTGTGTGATATGTGAATTATATCTCAATAATTTTTAAGACGTACTCCTGAGGAAAAGTACCAAGACCTCCTTCTTAAACCAGATCACTAGGTTAGCCACACTGTTCTTCACTGGGCCAAAGGGAGTATATGAGTGGAGTTGATGGGGATGGCCAATTAATCAAACATCCTTTAGATCTG